ATATTCATATATATACATATATATATAGATATGAAAACATACTTATATGTATATTTATATATATATATGAATATATATATATATGGATATATATATATATATATATATATATATATATATATATATATATATGTGTGTGTGTGTGTGTGTGTGTGTGTGTGTGTGTGTGTGTGTGTGATTATATATATATATATGATTATATATATATACACATACGAGGGGTAGCAGGGTCATTCTGCCCCCAGGGAGTTCTGCGTCCCTGCTCCTAGCTAGCAGTTGGGGTCGGGCTAGCAACCCGGTCTCGTAGAAACTCTCACCAGCATGCAAACCAAGAAAGGAGAGAAGAGGTCGGAACCATCCCGGAGGTGGTGACTCCGACCTCGATTTGCGGCCGGGGGTTCCTGATCCCAGGCTCGGCGTCCTGACCAGGGGCTTACCTGATCGGGACGTCGAGCCTGGCATGACTCAGTCTCTCGGAGGATGAGCGACTGCCTTTTTGTCGGGGGAGCTGGGGAGGCTGGGGATTGCCATCGTTGCTCTCTCTGAGGTGCGACGGCCTGGTAGTGGTGAGACCAGTAGTGGGGGTTATACCTACTACTGGTCCGGCTGTAGGAATGGTGCGTGCCTTAGGGAAGGTCTCTGACCACTTCCGTTCCTCAGTCAAGGTTACCCCTGTTGACGAGCGCATTCTGCTTGTGAGAATGAAGCTCACTTTGGGCTTCATATCTCAAGTGGCAGTTTACGCTCCTACTGAGGGAAGTGGGCTTGAAGAGAAAGAGATGTTCTATGCCAAACTTGACTCTATAGTGGATGTTGCCGGGGTACACCCTCATGGTGCAATGCGGTTACTGGCACTGACAGGGAAGGATACGAGCTATGCATCGGTCCCTTAGGCTCTGGTACTAGGAACATTAATAGCTCATAGCTCTTAGACTTCGCAAGATCTAGGAGGCTGAGGATTGCGGGCTTGTGGTATCAGAGACGAGATCTACACCACTGGACTTGGTACTCCAATACTGGCATTGTAGCTACAGAGATCAACCACATTCTTGCTGGAGGATCCTTCAGAACTGTGGAGTTTTTAGGAATGCTGAGTTCTTTGCTACCAACCATAGACTTGTTGTTGCAACAATAAGGCTCTGCCTCAGATCTAGACGCATCCTGAGATCTCACCAGCAGGTGTTTCATCTCGAGAGGCTCAAGAGTGAGGAGG